TTAGAGGTTAAGGTGTTCGCCTCTTATTCAAAGGTCCCGGGTTCGAATACGGGTAGCGACCGGAAAATTTTCTTCTCTAAAATTGTCTCCTTTCACCTCCTTTCCTGTTCTCTTGCAATGTTCTATCGTCTGCTTTCGTCTCTACTTTCTGCCTCCACTCCATCACCTCTTTTGCCCCCTCCTCTGGTCTCCTGACTTTTTCAGCCGCCTTTCAACTGCTACTCCTTGGCTCCTTCTTACTGCTGTCTTTCAGCCACACCCCTGATCTTCTGGTGGGAAAGATCTACACCTGGCCTTCTCGGACAAGGGCGAAAAATCTCGGAGGTTTCGTGTGCAAGTTGCTCACGTTAAAGATCCCTTGGTGGTCTAAGATCGATAAGAGTAGGCTTCGGCCGCCACCCGGGCAAAATTCAAAATTTCCTGCCAACTGAAAAACGTTTAATGTGTCCTGTGTGCTCATATGACCTGTTTCGAGCGCCGTAAAACATTTACCAAAAAAACCCCCCGCAAAAAACCCAACTATTTCCCCCTCTTTGAGTAAAATGAAAAGTTACAGTTCCTATATCATGATTTACGTGTCAAGGGCTATACAATTGTTCATATTAGATCTTATTCTGGGTGACGGTTAGTACCGCGTATTAAGTAACCGCTTCTTTTATAAACTTACAATGGTGAAAGGAGCGTTAAATCTATAATGTTGCACATTTTTCGAGTATCAAGAGATACGTAAAAAGAAAATAAAACTCATAAAAAATTATATGACGTCACTGTACTAGATTCTAGCAAAATTAAAATGGTCAAAATATAAATGTGTAAGTGATGTTTTGATAGCTGCGCCTTTTGTTTCTGTTACGATATTCATCTTTACACACAGTAGCAGACTCATAATTTGGTCTTAAACTAAAAAATGTGCGCGCACTCCACAAAGTCAACACGCAAATTTCAGTTGAAACGAAAAGTCACAAGAAATACACACAACAGTGAGACCCCCCCCCCCCTCTCTCTCTCTCGTTTGCTTTCTCTTTCCCGTCGTCTGTCTGTCTGTCTGTCTCTTTCGTTCGTTACACACCCCCCCCCCCCTCTCTCTCTCTCGTTTGCTTTCTCTTTC